GTATTGTAAAATAATATAAAAAAATTTTTTATCAATTGTGTAACAATTTTGTGACGTTTCAACGTTTCCCCCTGTTCATCGAAATACAAGATCAGTACTATGATCAACATAATATTTTAGATGTCACAAACTTAATTGTTCTTGTAGTAATTGCTTTTAAGACTCATGTTTCCTATAGTTTTCATTGCTAGATGTTTTTCTACGGTCTCTTCAGCTACATTCTCCATCATTTCTTGTGTCTTATTACTTATAGTGATGATGCATCGTTTCTATACAAGTATTTCATTTAGTAAAAGCCCAGAAAGTTATTTAGCCAAAATATACTTACTGTTCGCAAAGATCTTTCTTCATCTAAGTATAACATTTCGATTTTGTTCCAGAAATAATTGATATCCTCATTATTAAGGAAATGTTTTTAATAATAATATTATTGTTAATATTAATGTAGCTGTCAAGATACACGCGTAAAAAAAGGGTTTATTTTAATTTTTTCGCAGACCACAACGGACAAGCAGACCATAAAGCAGGAAACAAGCAGATTCCCACCGTAGATGTGTGAGTTTAACCCCTTCTCAGGACTACTGGTGGTCCCCCATACTGCCTTTGGCAGACCACAACGGACAAGCAGACCATAAAGCAGGAAACAAGCAGATTCCCACCGTAGTTGTGTGAGTTTAACCCCTTCTCGGGACTACTGGAGGTCCACCATACTGCATTCGGAAGAAATTTAAAATACTTTCCTCAAAGTTTTGTAGTAGTCATGCAGCACTCTCCTTCATATCTTCTGAACGACCATCTTTAGCTAACGACTCCAGACTCTTCCGAAATTTGTCTGCCTCTTTCTGAAAAGAGAATGTAAAGTTTGGTTGTTTTTCGCGATGCTTATAAAAATCCAGAAATCGGTAGTTTTTAGGAGATGTTTCATCAAAATAGCTATCCCAAGACATTATAAAAAAAAAGTTTTGTAAAGGTTTAGATTATAGTATAGGCGTTTTAAAATTTTTAATCAGAATCGCGTGCATCTATAGCGTGCATCTATTATTATGTACCCCCCAACATCATAGACAGACATTCGTCTGATTGGCTGATGTAAATCAATTGCCGGGTAACTTATTTATACAGTTTAAAGTACTT